GTTTTTTTTCAGTAGAATATATTAATATATTAATATTATTGCAGTTACTGCTACTGCAGCTGCTTCTGCTTCTGCTTCGCCGGATACTGATTTTGATTCTAATTCTAATTCTTATTCTGACTTTTTTTTTTGTAAAATATGAAATTTATTAACAGTCATTAAACAATCGTTACATTAATAATTAATCACTACACGAAAAAATTATTTTTTTTTTTTTTTACTATTTTATTTAGTGGTTATGATTAATAAGGGGAAAAAAAAACTTTATCTGTGAAAAACAATAAAAAAAAAGATATTGGTTGCATGCATCAAAATAAAAATACTCTTTTGTTTTTTTGTTGAAGATGACAAAAATTAATGAACACTGAATGAAGAACAAAAAAAAAAAATGCGGAATTGAAGTTTTTCATATAAAAAAGCGAACAAAAAAAAAAGAACAATTTGATTTATGAAACTGATAATGCAGAAATAAAAAAGAATTTTTTCTTGTTAAAATGAAAAGAAAAGAAAAAAAAAAGGAATAAGAAAATGAACGTTGAAGAAATAAAGTTTTAACGATTTAAGAAGCATTAGCCTATATGATTTGAAGCCGTCTGATGAACGTTTCAGCAACTTAACCAACAGAACAAATCCATGTTCCCTCTGCTGCTGCTGCTGCTACTGCTGATTCTGCAACTGAAGCTTCAGATAGATAAACCTAACACTTCTGTCCTTTCTTCTCCTCTTATTTTTTTTCCCCAGTTTTGCAGTACTATGTTTTTTTTTTTCTTTTGCTTAGTTTAATTTGAAATTACCCAGACTTAGCTGAATGAACAGCTACTAATTGTGTAAAGGTTAAGCTAAAAGAGCAAAAAAAAAGAGGAAGAAGAAAGAACAGTCAGGAGAAAAAAAGAAAGAAAATCAAAATAGCTTGTTGATTAATTTTTCAATTTTTGAACTATTACTTTTCAACAGCTATTTTTTTTTTTTTTACTACCCTTTATTTTCATCTGTTTTCTCCTCCCGCTGTTAGTTCTCTGATTTTGTCATCGTCGTCATCAGCAATTTTGCTCACATATTGATGATAATAGCACTATTATTTTTCGCAACTGTTAGCATATTTATTGACAGATACTGCCAGATTGTTTCAGTTTTTCGATTATCACTGTTTGTTGTTGCGGCAGCTTCAGAAGCAAAAAAAAAAAAAAGCAGAAGAAGAAGTATTATTGTGTAATTTGAATGAATGAATCAATTAGGAATCACCTATGCCGCTTGTTCTTTGTCCCTTAAGAGTTTAAAAATTTTTTTTTAATCGCCAATTGACAGTATAAAACTAATTAAAACTTTTACTTTAAAAAGAAACTACTGTTGCTTTATTTATATATTCTTTTTTTTTTTGAGTATTTATTTGTTTATTTGTTTACAATTGCTGCTGACCACTTTTTTTCTTTTTTTCTTCCTGTTTAATTTTCAACAGCTTATTGAAAGATAAGATTTTTTTTTTTCTTTTACAATTCTTAATGATGTACTTTTAATGATTTTTTATGCAAAAAAAAATAAAAAAAATCCGAATATCATACGACATTATTGAAAATAAGGAACCGAACAGCAACAGCAGCAGCCTTTTTTTGGGGAGAGGTGGGGGAAGCAATTGCAACTCTGTTCGGGGAAACAGAAAGGCCAACTGCAACCAAATGGAGGATTACCGCTGCCGCTGAGGACAGTGGACGAACAACAGCTAAATTAAGCTATTTAAGCACAGACCTACTAGAAAATTACCTTTAAAAACTTATCTACTTTTTAGTCTTTATTCTAGTTCTAATTTCTTTTTGTTTATATTCATAATTTTAATCTATAAATGTATTTTGTTTTGTTCTTCCCCCCCTCCCCCCAAAAAAAAACACTTATATTTGTTTGAAAAAGATTCTTCATTTGTTTTTCTGCATTTTCTTCTCAGTAATCCATTTGAGTTATCCAAAAAGCTTAAGGACAAATAAAAAATAGTTTTTTTGCTCTTTTTATTTC